TCAATTCGCTTTGCAGTATATTGCGTGAAGCGCTTTGAGACGTCCCGAAGACGTGATAAGGCGCCGTGTCAAATGCAAGGATTAATATTACTCTCATTGTTCTCACTGCAACATTCAGCCTTTAGACCAGTCTTTAAATATTGGGCAACTGAAAATAACTCCGAAAAATAAGGTGCGCGCAGAAAACGGGATTCCCAGTGCATTACACATTAAAGAAGCTGTTGAGTCACATTTTAACCGCACGACATTGGGATTTCATGTAGAGCAAGGTAAGTAAATTGTCTGTCTGCAATGAATAAGCGGCTTATCCTTTTTCTGGTAATACAATCGCACGACACTGCATCAATCTAATTACAGTATATTCTGTGAAGGGCTTTGAGACGTCTCGGAGGATGCGATAAAGTGCCGCATCAATGCAAAATTACATTTGTATTGCGTCCTTCACGTGGGAGGGTACCAAATGTCACGCTTATTCTTGTTATGATTATCATTATTATTCTCTGCACCCAACTGCTGTGGCATTCCAGCAGCCTGAGCAACTTGAAACTAGTCGAAAAAAATCCCCTCGAGCTTCCCAGTTCACAGCCAGTTACATCTGTTGCAAATTATGCCCATTACCCGGGTCAACCAAGAATGCAATTGGATTGTTGCACTTAGTATAAATTGGCCATTATAAATGAGCTGGTCAGCTCAGTGCCAATTAGTCCTGAACTGTAACCGTCTTTCCCAATGCACTTTACACCCACTGGGAATTGGGTTGAAATTGTCCAAGCTCTTTGCGTTTGTGGTTTTTATAGCCAGCGAAGAGACCCGACTTTAGGCCTAGTAGGGATTGCACCTCCACAAAACAGCAACTTGCATTTATGTAGCGCCCTTCGCATCGGGGCAGTGTTTCGGAGCACTTGACGGTGGTGGAGCCTGCCGCCAAGCCAGGATGGAAAGGAGGTGACCTGGACTCCTGCAAGGTTCAGTCTGCTTGCTCCAACCATAACCTTCTGGAATTGGTTTGAGCTTCGTTCACATTTGTGCCCGGAAACTTGGTTCAAATTCCGTCCTTTTACCTTTAAGGACTAGGATCTAAATTTTGCCATGCATGATAATAAAAATAATAATAATCTTTGCATTGGATATAGCACCTTATCACGTCGCCGAGATGTCTCGGAGCACTTCACGGGATATACTGTCGTGTAGTGACTGTGTAAATGGGCAAAATGAATGACCATTTTGATTTGGGAGAGTGTCTTAAAAGTCCGCCTGAACAGGCAGACTGGATCTCGGAGCAAAAATCTCATCTGGTGATCGACATGTCTGACAATGCAGGAACCTCTGCCATCTCCCCCCACCGAGCAATGTACTAGAATGTTAGCTTTGGCCATGAGCTCAATGTCTTGATGTGGGGTTGGGCTACACTATCTTCTGATCTCTTGAACATCATGTGGGAGGCAGAAATGAGACAAGGGGATGAGTGTGGGGGTGGGGGGGCAAGTAGCCCATCATAAAAACATTCACTTTCACCATTGGGTCCCTTGCCCAAGGGTTCCTTCATCCCCCAGTCGCCTTCAACAATGCTGCCCATGTGCCCTATTGAGTACAATTCATAGCACTTTTATTATCTCTATAAAATAACACAAATATCAGAATGAAACAGGAAAATAGCCACAGCAAGTCAAGTGAGTTGGAAGTGTCTCTGGAGTCAGAATTTGTTTATTAAGGAAAAGTTAAACACAGTGCATATTTATAGCATATACAACTAGTATTCTGTCTTCTATTTCCTCTGATTTACAACTATGTACAGTTTAAATAAGGCACTGTTTTCCAGTGAGTTGAAGATTTTTTGTTAAAAAATCTTATCTGTACAGATGTCGAAAGAAAATGGAGCAGTTTCCAGTTCTACAAGCGAAAAGAAATGTCGTTTTAAGGATAACCAAAAATACTACATTCTCTGTAAAGTTTCGCTGTTCCCTCTGCCTGTCCTGGAATTCAACTTTCCTCTGGTAGATTCCAGCCAACAACAAATGATTCCCTTTCTTGTGCCTTGTGCCCTCCAGGTTAAAAGTTTTACAAGCTGTGCAGGACAGAGGTGAGGAGGCAGCATAGGGTCTGCTGCTGACCTTTGCTATTCACTCCGCAGCTGCCCTCTCTTTCCCCCAAAGTCCTCTGTGGGTCTGTAACTCGGAGGACAGCCTGGGGCAGGAGCCTGGGTTATCAACACATCAACTGCTTGCTGCACTTGAAATCGATCTATGCTGAGGCAATAGGCCGAAACTAGTTAAACACGGGAACGGCACACTTGTTTCTTCCACGTATACCCCCTCCCCCCCCCCCCCCCCCACTCCCACATAGAGGTAGCACTAATCTGCACATCGCCCAGATTCAAGCTGACAGATTGGGGGGGTGGGGGGGGTTTGGGAGAGAAAGAATAGAAGCAAAGTTACAAAAGCAAGATGTGTTTAATATTCCAGGAACTGTCAAGAACAATTCTCTCAAACGCAGTGGGGCAAGCAAGCCAAAGGTTGAGGAGAATTCCTCACGGAATCCTGTAGTGTGTTGGTTAGAGCGCTCGCCTCGCAAGCAAGAGGATCCGGGTTTAATTGCCGGGTAGGGTGAAACCTTCGGCTCGTTTCCTTACTCAACATGCCTCTGTTTACCTAGCAGTAAATTGGAACCCTATTTTTAGTTGGCGGAATATTAATTCTAAAACTACAGACCAAACCATGGACTCGCGATTTCAACAGTTAAGTAAACGCTCCTCAGGACTGTGGCTCTCAATCGATTGTCCAGCGCAAGCACTTGTTCAATGGCTTTGCAATGACAATGAGTTTATCGCGTCCGAATTTAGTGTTTCTTTCCATTGCTCAGGCTCCATTGCTCAGAATTGTCCGCTAGTCTCTAAGAGCTAAAGGTTTCCTGTAATCGGGAACAGTCCTCAGAAACCTGACTATTGGCAAGTTGAAATATTCCGCGTACTATTGTGTTCATAGATGAATCTACCAATTTTCTTTCAAAATCCCTATTTTGTAGCGTGTTAGTACATTTCTTACCATTTCGTAAACAGTCAAAGCAAATGTTCGGCGTGACCTCAGCAGAACCTGTTCAGAGAGTGTGGAAGAGGAAATGTGTTCCTGTCAGTTACGTCACTGACTTGGGAGGCATTTCAAGTGAGCGATCGGGCTTCGAAAGAACTAGAAAACTGGGAGGTGCAAGATTCTACCTCAGATAACTGTTATCTGAGCCTTGGGAATTACACTGTTAATTAGACATCTCTCCAGCATATTGTATTGATTAAGGGCACATACTAATGATCTCTGGACCGGTTGTTTCTAGTTGGTTTGGAGTCAGCCTTGCCCTGCAAAGTGATCTCCCTCACAGACATCGCACTGTTGATATTCAGTGAAGAGAGATAACCAACTGACTCGTCTCATTCCTCCACCCTTACAGCAAGAAAATGATTTGACGTCGAACTCCACAGCCAGGATTATGTGACGGCAAGTTATTGAAATAAAAATGCAATTTAAACCAGGTGTTGAACGGTGACTTTAAACTGAACCTTGTCACCAAAAGTTAACTGTTAAAAAAAAAAAAGTTTTCGGAGAAGCCTTCAAAATGATCTGCTAGAATTCACGTTCATGATTAAATTTATGGATGAAATGGTTGGAATTTGGTCTCGGATTGCAGGTAACCTTTGCTGGTCCAGTCCAGGCCAATGTTGTCTATAGTCAGAACTTACTCTACAGTGGACAACTTACAAAGGGTACTGGAGTTCTCCAGGAAAATCCTCTTATGGATCAGCAGCCCTATCGTGAAACTTACTCTGCCTCCGCAATAGTGAGTGCTATCTCCACAGCGGGAAAGGGTTTTCTTTATGGCTCGGCTCAGCTCCTGGAACGACCTCTGCTCTGAAAAAAACATCCCGCAGAGCAGACTGGAACCGGTGCAGCAAGCGAGCTTTGCAGGCTGACTTTTTAATACTTTCATTTAAAAAAAAATCATATTTTTATTTGAGCTTTTTTTTAATTAAAACAAAAGATTAAAAATGATAAATTAATAGCAGCAGACATAATCAGCAATGCAACGGTGCATCACACCTGCCCCTATTTACAAACCAGGCAAAAGCGTCTCGAGAGAGACTCTTCGTACCTCGTCGACACCGTCCCTTTAAACACGCTCAGACACAGGAAAGTGTTTTGAAGCGTGGGAGAAGCAAAGTTAAAAGAATGAAGGGGAAAAAAGCGACAGAGATCGACAGTTACATAGCGCCTGTCACATCGGAAGGACGTCTCAAAGCGCTTCACAAAGCTGACCCAAAGTGAGCCCAAACTGGTCGTGTGGGGGTGGAGGTGTTGGGAGAGAAGAGGATGGACACACATGGAGCACAACGGGAAGCAAGAATGACGTTGGCACCGAGTCTAAGATGTGTAAGCCATTTGTGACAGAATGCACCCTTCCCACGTTAAGAACTTGTCCAGTTACTTGGTGTTGCTCCTCTGAGGTGAAGGTATATCTATGCCATAGTTAACTGGTGCACAATCAGATCTGGGATCAGCTCCATGTCTCCAACCCAACAGTATAGCAATGCTACACATCTCGGAGACCGCTTTCAATGCTGCCACCCCCGCAGGTGAAATGCAGTACAACTGATTCCCAAGTCTTGATTCCCCATGGGCAACCCTCCAACTGTGCCACCATTCACCAAGTCTGCTGTCCACTGCTGCCCCCCTTCACCCATCGCTGGTTGGCGACACTAATTGATCCATTCATTGATCACAGGACAACGGGTAAAAGGATTTCCGTACGGAGCTGATCTACTCAGGAGCTGTGGCAACCAGTGTAACTTTGCTAATCTGCAGATTTCATATAATAAACCCAGGCTACTGCACCTGGTCTCAGTATTACTGAGACAAAATCCATCCTTCGGCTCTTGCAAAGCTCGGGTGGGTCAAATGCGCAAGAAAGCAGCTACGCTCAGGTGGACACAGAAAGAAAAACTCACCACAACAGGGAACGAATGGCCTTTCAGTTTAGCCACAATTCTAATCCCGTTTTGAGTTGCCTTCTCAGACTCTCGATGCTTTTACCTTTTTTTAAAAAAAACAAAGAAAACAGCTTTCACAGAAAGCAGCGCGCAATCTCCTCTGTGTTAAACATCAGACAGCTGTTGCTTCTTACACTATGCAAGCAAAGACGGTGGATGCGTTTTACTGTTAGCCGTTTTTTTTTTAGCTGTTTGGTACAGTGCATTCCTCCCTCATAGATCAGCCTGTGGCAGTGCTATCTCAACAGGGTTGCGATTGAGACTACGTAAAGGTAGTTTTCGAAGGCTTAACAAAGTCCGCCGCTCTCCTGGCTCTTACGGGTTAGGTTCAACGATGAGGGTCTCTGGGACTTAGAGCAGGTCCCCGGGCTGTATCAAAGCTTTATGTCTTGTGACTCGGACATTTTGGCCAAGGTTTTCTTCACTCGAAGCGCCGTCAGCCGAGAAGCTGGGTTGTGGGCCCAGCATTCCGTCATGAGCTTCCCCATTTGCCTCAAACACTGCGGGAGCAACAACAACAACGACAACAAATACGTAAGTAAGCTTCCAGCAACTCTGAACCAGCTAAACCAATCTGACAGTCCCACTTCGTCTCATCTCTACTGTAACCGCCACGTTTTCTCGCTCGGTAAAATCGGCGAAGTGTACGTTACATTAAATTAATAAATTAGAGGAGAAAAAAGTTGCAAAAAGGAAGTCTTTTTAGACAGAGGGTTACTGACTGGACTGCCGAATGCTCCACCACAAGAAGCTGTTGATCACAAGATTGTTTGGATGTTAAGAAGACCCTTCGGCCCATTTGATCTCATTCCTCCAAAGGCCGAAACCCATGGCAGCTTTCAGAAGGCAATTTGATAAATATTTAAGGAAAAACAATAGGAAATGGTGTGAGAAAGAGCACGTCTGGGGTCCCCAAGCATTAGCTCTTTCCAACCTGTGCCTAGGACTTTCTGGAATTAGGTAAAGTCAGGGAGAGAGTGTGCATTCCATTCCAGCAATCTATCTCTTGAATTTCCATGTGTAAGTGGGATGCATGGAAATCTCAGCTTGGTTTGGATACTCGAGCAATGTGATGGGTGTCTGCGTGCGTTAGACGCACGGCTGCCCCCACACCCCCTACCCAAAAAAACAGCAAGGAATGGGATCAAAATAGATCATTTCATTGGAGGATCCAGCACCAACCCCATTCTCAATGGAACAATTGGCCTCCTGCTTTGCTATCAACTTTCTTTGATTCTAACCATCAAAACAGGTTTGAGAGCCCAGTTGATGGGAGTAAATTTTCCAGATGAATAGGTTGGTTGGACACCTTGGTTGGATACCCAGACTGTGTCTCCTACCTCGTCGCTAGTCCATCTGTTGGGGAACGATGGCCTCAGCCGTTTGATGCACACCACTTCTCTCATGTCTTCGAAGGACGGGTCGCTGGGCACCAAATCGTGATAGGGCAACTGGTATTCTTCAACAATGCCTGCAGGTACGACAAAGTGTTCACAGTTAGAAACTATAGGAAGAAGGTACAATTGGGCTGAAATTCTGGTCTGTGCTAGATGCCGCGCCTTTAGCAACACACAATTATAATGGGAGATATAACACCAACTGAAATTTCAGCCCCAAATAAGTCCAGTCGTATACTGTAATATTTCGATACAATTTTCCTTCCTAAAAAAAATGCTAATAATCCTTGCATTTGACAACGCACCTTTCACGTCGGGAGGACAGCTCAAATGTCCTGAAGGGATATTTAATGTCCTTAAGGGACATGTCCTCTTCACATCCCCGTCTCCTTGCCCAACACTCACACACACAGAACTTTACATCAGGATTCACTGGATAGCTGTCAGAAGCAGGATTACCTCCCCTTCCTCCTCCCTACCTCTACCCAGGACTCTGAGCCCTCAACAACACAACCAAATTACATTTATAGAGCGCCTTTCACGTCGGGAGGATGTCCCAAAGCGCTGTAACCCTCATTGTAATATACCTCGACTGCAGTCTTATCTGAGATCAGTGAACACAGCACAGACTAAACATTGCACCTGACCTAATAATAATAATCCTTGCATTTGACATAGCGTCTTATCACGTCTTCGAGACGTCTCAAAGCGCATCGCAGAATATACCGTAAAGAGAATTGACTGTGCATTTTGTGGGGGAAACACGGCAGCCAATTGCACACAGCAGCGTCCCACAAACAATCGTGGATTGAGTGACCACATTTTTTTAGGTGGGGGGAGGAATTATTACCCACGGAAAAGCTATCCCCTAATCGACTGACAATCGGGTTCCTACTTACTGCTAGCTAAACAGAGGCTTGTGGAGTAGAGAAACTTGCCTAACATTTCGCCCTGTCTGGAATCGAACCCTGGTCCTTTCGCTTGCGAGGAGAGCGCTCTTACCAATGCACTACAGGACTCCAAATCTTCTAGGTCTGTATGGCTCAGTATGGTTCGGATGCACACCATATAGTGCTTTACCAACTGAGTCATTAGAAGGCGCGTTACAGTTAGTTTAGTGTGCCAACGTACTGCCTATGTTCAGGCATTTTTCCCAGCGGCTGGGCAATGGAATACTTTTCTTGGTAATACGTGCGAGTTGCTGGAATAATTTGTTTATATCCGATGTTGTGGAAACATGTGGCTCGTCTATTATAACAACCCCGGGCCACCATGTGCGTTTTCATTCAAATAAATTACTGTGTGACGTTTTTACAGCTACTACTGGGGCAAAGAGGAAGTGTTTATTGGTTTCAACACTGCTGTTCTTCATTAGTTAGCAATTCGAGTCATTAAACAGACATCACGCTCAAAGGAGGTCTTTAATGGCACCTATCTGATGGTCAAGGCTTTCCGTCCATCTCCCTCTCACAGCAAAATAAACACGGCTGAGACACCAACAGGGTATATTGTAAGGGAGGTTAGGATGGTTTCGTTTTACACACAGAGAGTGGTCATGTGAAAGGTCGCAAGGTACGGTGGTCGAGGCAGGATCCATATTAGCTTTCGAGAGGAAACTATCCAAAAAAGGAGTGTTTTGCAGTGCAGGCGTGTAGGAAAACGACAGATAAATGGGATAAAAGGATTGGTCTTTCAAGGAGGCAGCACAGGCACGATGGGCTGAATGGGCCATCTGCTGCACTGTCAATTTCTATGGTTTCATGTCTCGAAGGAACATACAGAAAGATCTTTTCATCTTCTTCACCCCATAACACTCCTTTTAGCAGAACCAGTCTGAAGTGCATTATATGATGTGAGCAGGACACACCGCTTATGAAACACAAGCTCACGTCATCATAGTATGTTCCCTTCGTGTTTACATGAAGAGGCGTGTGGAGTAAGGAAACTTGCCCAACATTTACGCCCTGCCAGGAATCAAACCCGGATCTCTTGCTTGCGAGGCGAGCGCTCTTTGTCACTGAGCTACATATAAACCTAAGAGTAAGGACCTTTGATTCACCCTGTACATCGTTCATCAACAGGGTTGTACTGGAGAAACAGGAGGATTCTGGTTTGCAAACTAAAAGAGACTGCGGGAGTCGGGATTAGCAAATCAGAATGTGTAAAGTTCTTTTACATCCAAACCGAACTTGTCATCTTGTGATGCAAAACTCTGCTTGAGATGTCCCAGTCATCATAAAGGCGACTTGAGCTTGTGTTTCATAAGTGGTGTGTCCTGTTCACATCACAAGATTACAACTTTGTCAATGCTTACTAACCTATACCAATTAAACGCCAATGTCTGTTGTCTGCGCTTCAAGAAGGATCTCAATAACCGATTGACGTAGAGGCATGACTTAACCTCATCGGAAAGCTCTTGCAACTGGAAGTGACATGGGCATATTTGTTTTCGGGTATCTCCTATTGTCCATGAATTGTGACCCAAAATGTATTTTAGTTTTGCCTTTTTTTTTGCTGCACTTCCACCCGCTGACCATCGAGTCAAAATGGCGCTGTGGCGTCGTGCGTAACAGATCACCTACGTATATGCGCGCGCTGCAGTTACACCTGGTGGCCACGTCAGCTGACCGTGGCGCTGTGGCATCCTGAGCCCGAATGTAGCCAAGCGGCGGCGGGAACCAAATAAAAAGCGCAGACGAAGCTAAGCCGCGGCAACACCAACAACAACAACAAAATCCCGTTTTTTAAAGCGCCTTTCACGCCGGGAGGACTTCCCGGTGATTATAAATCATACGTTTATATTGATCATTATCAAGATGCCTAAACGGAAATCCACCCTTTCAAGGATAAGTAAAACTGCTCGACAGAAGAGACAGACGGCCCATTAAATGAAACCGAAGAGCAAAGAACAGCGCGGCTGGACGTCAACGCCGAAAGGACGGCAACCAGCGCGGCCAAAATGAGTCGCCCACTCAAAGAACAGCGCGGCCAAAATGAGTCCTCCCACAGGAGTCCTCCCATATATGAGTATAGATGAAGGTGAAATGTCTGTCTGTGTGTCTGGCTGTGTGTCGATCTACATTCCATATGGGATCCTTTGGTTGCAAGGGCAACCTGCTATGAAAGATATTCCCACCCACCCAAGTGGAAACTGAGCGTTTAGATAATCTGGAGGACTTCCCTCGAAATATCCTGGGCTCTGATGAGATCGCAGGAGAGAACGCAGGCAGCCTTACCTCCCGACACACAGCGCCTGCCAATCTCCCACAGGATCAGACCGAAGCTGTACATGTCTGCCATGATGTAGGACTGGAAGTGGTTCCTGTTGAGACTTTCATCCAGCACTTCTGGAGCCATGTAGCGTTTGGTGCCCACTCTGGTATTGAGGGGTATGTCAACTTCATTGGTATCACTGAGGGGGGATAAGGAGAACATTAAGCATGTTCATCATCATACGGATTTGTGACAATTCATCTATAGTAATAATCCTTACATTTGATAATAGCACCTGTTGTCAGGAGGATATTTCATGGGGATTTTATTGCAATTTATAATAATCCTTGTATTTGGTATAACGCCTTATCACTAAATTATAACCAATTGTGGCATAAAATGTAATAAATGGAAGGTCACGTATAGACTTACAGAGCCATGCTTATAGCCATATACAGATAGACATAAGAAAATACAGTTACCAAAGGATTTTTCCGATAGACAAACCCAGCTACATGATGCTCAGAACAAAACTTCCTGCTATCTGGTCTGAAATGGCCCTTTATAGCTCTAAACCTCTGTCAGTCCTGGCTTGTGGCTTCCCAAAGTTTTGATCTGGCTTTACTTTTCAATCCCATTTAAAATTTGGTACACATCTATAAGGTCCCTTTAGAGGCGCCTTCTCTCAAGAGTGAAGAGCCTTAGCTTGTCTAATCATTACTCATAGTTAATTCCACTAACACTTGGGGGTCATTCTTATTGCTCTCCTCTGTATAACCTCCAAAGTGCCTGGTGACCCCCTGTGTAGTGATAACCAGAACCGTATACAGTATTCAAGGTCCGGTCTGACCAGGGCAGTGTACAGCCTGAGTGTGATGTTTGAGGATCTGAACTCAAATGATTTAGCAATACAGCCCAGCAACCTGTTTGACTTGTTTATCGTTGCTTCACGCTGTTTTGACACACAGTGAACGACAAGTCAACAAACACCACTAAATCTCTATCAGAGTGCCCTCCCCCCCACTTGGCGAGTTCTGTCCTATCCATGGAATACAGTACTTATGTTTCCTATTCTTGGAACTCATTTGTATCTTGTATTTATTTGTATATTACAAGTCAATCTACCAGTTAGCAGGTCTCTTCGTAGGACCTTTGCTGATTCCACAGTTCCCCACCCCCCACCAGTTTGGTGTCGCCTGCAAATGTAACCATCTCACACTGGGTCTTTGAATCCAGGTCATTAATATACATGAGGAACAGGAGGGGTCCCAATACAGACTCCCTGAGAGACCCTGCTCAGTATCTCTCCCTATTGTGAACAAGCTCCCCTAACAAACACCCCTCCGCTTGCTTCCCTTCATCCAATTCTGAATCCCATATCTTGCCTTTATCGCCAGTGACCACAGTTTATGAAGGAAAATGATCCGTGTCATTGCCAGAGAAAATTCGAGAACTTTATATCAAAATGACACGGTTTTTTTTTTTACAAATCTTGCCAATTTCCGTCGAGCCGAACCCTCGGAAATTGTCGGCCCGTAAACAAGAACACATGTGTAATTTTGTGGAGCGATGGCAGGATTTCAGAAGGCATGTTGTGTTCGTTTCGTTCTTCGAGTAATGCAGACTGGGTGGGCTGGGGAAGCAAGAAAATCATGTGTTCCCACTCTGCCAGATCCGCACAGGCCCCTTTGGCTGGGAGACTGGAGGGGAGCGCAAAAGCGCACTCCCTGCTGTACCCTCCCCACCCCACCAGTCCTCTGTACATTCTATGCAATACCTCGACCCCTCCATTGCACCATCGTCGGCGGGCGGGTGTGCGGGCAGCCCCCTACTCAGGAACCTTTGGAACTCTCTGCCTCAATATCTCCACCTTGCCCCCCCCCACCACCTCTTTGCTCACCTTCAGATTGAACCTGAAGTTCTTTCCTGTTTGACTTGTGTTTGTGGTCACCTCCCCTCTCCTTCCCCCCGCACGATGTCGAGCGCCGCCTCTGTTAAGTGCTCCAAGATCCGACCTTGCATCTTCCAACGATTTCCAGTCGTTTAGATATGCTGATTTGCAGTCTAGCCACTTTAGGCACCATGGACTGTTTTTCTCAATCTTCCTCTGTTCCCCCCTGCACCACCCTCACCCCACCCAACGCACATTCCACCCCTGGATCCTCTCAACACAGAGAGAATATTTTCTTGTGAAGTACACAGCTCGGAGACAGACACTGAAAGATATCATCGACTGCTGCGCGCAACTGGCTGCCGTGTTTCGCCCACGAAGTCTAGTCACTCTACTTTACGGTGAAGCGCTTTGAGACATCTGAACGATGTGATCAGGCGCTGTATCAAATGCAAGGATTATTATTATTATCTACATTACATTTATAAGTATAACATATACAAACTGTTTACGTGGATTTAATTCAGTCTCACAATGAGCACCGTCTGTTCTGTCAGGAAATGTTATCCCTCTGATGGTTACCTGTCCCCAATCATTCATTTGTCCCTTTTCACGATTCACCATTCCCATTCCCCGCTGACAACTCTCTGCACAACACATTGTCACAGTGTCTAGCACCAAGCTTTCTCCAACAGTTAGCGTATATATAGGGACTAAAATGCAATACTATTATGAGTCTCAAACAGTAAGTCTGTCACAAACTCGCAGGAAACTTGAGTCTGATCTACATCTGAAGCAGAGTTCCCTTGGGTTTTTGCGTTAAGACTTCCAGTTGCTGGCAGTAGAGTAAATATCATGTTTTAGACTCCAGATTATAAAGTAACAGATACCACTGAAAGAGGAAAGGAACCCGATGCTGTGATACGTGAAATGTATGAATAACCGAGTAACTTGTGATAGCCTGGTATGTGCCACGATCTACCCGCATGCATCCTGTGCAGATGGTAATAAAACGATTGAGAGAATAGATACCTGATAAATTTGACAGCCAAGCCCAGATCAGCTATGCAGCACGATCCATTCTTCTTCACCAGGATGTTTTTGCTTTTTAGGTCTCGATGGGCAATCGCTGGCTTCCCCTGGGTGCCAAATATCTCTGTGTGTAAGTGACACAGGCCACTGACCGTGGAGTAGGCCAGCTTCAGCATGGCTTTCGTATCCAGAGTTGTGGATTTTAAGTAGTCGTACAGTGACCCGCTCTCGTGGTAGTCAGTGATGAGATAAAGCTGCGTCCAGGATCCCGTCCCCTTGATGTCAGCTGCAATAAAACCTACAAGACACAATTTATTTTGTCAGCTTGCTGTCTGCCGCACAGAAGCCTGTCGCCACGCTTAAGGCTATCCAAAACAGACGGGTAGTTCCCGTATGCGCATCACATCGCAAAGCGCACATTCTCTCCCAGGAGGGACGAGTCCTACTTATTTAACTCCAGCGAGTATCGGGCGCAGGCTGGCAAGTGCCTTGGCAAGGCAGAGCGTGCGTTGGGGTACTGCTGGAGTTTTGGCAGCTGAGACCCCGTAGCTTGCCATTGAGAGCGCTGTCTGGCAAACTTCCCCCAGCTTCTCCCGCCAGGACCACCCTAACTGTTGGGATTTTGGCTTGCAGGATTAACAGCATTTAAGAAAAACACACACACATCTGCCACGATCAAAAAAAAAAATGTTTTTAAATCTGTGCAGTAGCTCGGTTTCATCAAAACATGTTCAATCTTCAATTTCTAATCAATCCAACGGATTGGAAGAAATGGGAGTGATTCACTTCACCCACGAAAAAGTCACCCCAATTCGCAGCATTTCCTGCGAAGTGCTTTGGGACGTCCTCCTGACGTTAATGGTGCAGTACCAAATGTAAGAATTAATAATAATAATAATCCTTGTGTTTGATATAGAGCCTTATCACGTCTTCGCGGCTGACCATAAAAAAGGAAAACGCGTGTGTAGATGTCATTGAGGACGAGTGTGGATTTGGCTGTGCTGAATCCCTGCAATCGAATGGCCTATAAAAACACTCATTGGCTCACGTGTGAATTATGGCATCCAAGGAACCATACCTCAGTAACAGGAAAGAAATTCTTGAGGAAAAGGAGAAAGGGAAGGGAGGGGAGGAGACAGTGGGAAAAATTTGGCAGCGTTATACAACTAAACATTACTGACCAAACATAAGTAGGTTTGCTGATTTTATTCCAAAAGGTTAAATTTTTTGGTTCAGGGGACGTTGAGAGGACGCGAACGGCGCAGAAGGAACACAGCACAGCACAGAAGGAGGCCATTCGGCCCATCGTGCCTGTGCCAGCTCTTTGGAAGAGCTACCCAATCAGTCCAGAACCCCTGCACTTTTCCCATATCCTTCCAAAATTTTCCTTTTGAAAAGAAAAGTTTGAAAGCTGTTATTGAATCGGTTTCCACCACCCTTTCAGGCAGTGCATTCCAGACTGCAACAACTCTCTGAGTAAAACAATTTCTCCTCATCTCCCCTCTGGTTCTTTTGCCAATTATCTTGAACCCGTAATTATTGTGGAAACTTAAAAACAACTGCAGATAATATCCTTAAAATTGAAAGTGAATTTCGTTTTTTTTTAAAGTACAATCTCTCTGTCACAATAATACATGTCAAGGCTAAAACAATGAGGAATTTCAGGTCTCTGTTTTTTGTTGAATTTCTTTAAACCCGTTTTGAACCCAAAGCTACAATGTTCTAGCCAAATTCCACAGAGCTAGCGTGTTGTGCATGAACTCTGTATTGCAGTGAGGTTTCAAAATGAAGACTGCACTGTCTTGAATTTTAGTGAAGTCCTGTAGCTCAGTGGTTAGAGCACTCGCCTCGCAAGCGAGAGGATTCGGGGTCGATTCCCGGGCAGTTCAAAATGTTAGGCAAGTTTCCTTACTCCACACGCCTCTGTTTACCTAGGAATAAGTAGGAACCTGGTTGTTAGTCGATTGGCGGATCGCTTTTCCGGGGGTAATAATTCCTTCAAAAAAAAATAATAATTTGGTCACACAGTCACCGTTTGTGAGAAACTGCTGTGCGCAATTGGCTGCCGTGTTTCGCCCACAAAATATACAGTCAATTCACTTTTCAATATATTCTGTGAAGCGCTTTGAAACAACTTGAAGACCTGATAAGCGCTATATCAAATGCAAGGATTATTATTATTAGTAGTAGTATTATTTTAGTATTATTAGTATTAATAATAATAGTATTATTGCAGGATCCACACATTGCTGTTGTGACATTCAGGCTAGTTTCTCATCAGTTGAAGATCGTGCAAGGTCCCACCGGGTTCGAACTCTGCATTCTCTGCTCCAAGGTCAGCTGAAAGATTCTGGCCTAAATAAAGCCAGTGTACTCCAGCGAATTGGTGAAATGTAACCTCGGTTACATTTCATACGTTCTGAACGTCTGCATTACCCCTGGGGAATGGTGTGCAGCAACACATCAAGACTCAGGCAGCCTGGGTTAATCAGCTGCACGAGAATGTCATGCTATAACCAATACTATTTAAACAAACCCTTGTGCCTGAAGCAGACAAGTGAGGAGATCAGCCGATTTAGGTTAGAATGCTTAGATCGTATTTACGGCTCCTCTCGTGCTGCCACGATGAGTTATTTCTTCCGTGCAAGCGTTATTCCAATATGGTCACTTGTATCGTGACGTACTATAGAATTTCTCCAAATAAAAGCAGCTCTGTATTGCAATACAATGCTGTATGAACTTATGTATAAATTTATATTATATACTGTATATAGTGCCTTTCGGATCAAGAGACATTCCCAAGGATTAAAAAGCAATCTGCGAATGGACTAACGACTGAGCTCCCACTTTCTGCTCGGTAAACAGGCGTGCAGAGTAAGGAAACGTGCCTCAACAGCAACAACAACTTGCACGTATATGGTGCCCTACATGCAGGGTAGTGTCTCAGTCGAAAAGGAAGGTTTTCAGGCAGGACTTGAAAAAGGGGAGAGTGGGGGCAAGGCGGAGGGATTGTGGGAGAGTGTTCCAGAAGTTCGGGACGTAGTGACTGAAAGTGCGACCTCCGATGGTGGAGCGGAGGATGCGAGGGATAGGGATAAGCAGGAAGCCGGGGCCAGTCGAGCGGAGGCACCCTGTGGTGGATTGGGGAGTGAGGAAGTCGGAGAGGTGCCGGAGAGTGAATGGATTTGAACACGAGCGTGAGGATCTTGAAGTCGATCCGATCGAGGAATTGTGTGTCATCCGCATACGTGTGTGATGTATTAGGGTTTTGCCCTGCCTGGGAATTGAACCCAGGTCCTTTCGTTTGCGAGGCGAATGCTCTAACCGCAAAGCTACAGGACTCCAATCTTCCGGGCTGAGTGAGGAGGATCGGTGCAGATCGGTGCAGAGAAGAACCATTGTAGGCCTATCGAGACACTAGAGCTCTCTGCTAACCTGAAGCTATGATGACCACTCTGGGAACAGTGGCCAATGACAGGGTAAATGCACCCTCTGTTTAGCTTCTTACCTCCAGAGGAAGGAAGAAAACCTCCAAACACAACGTGGAGAGAGAATAATGAGTTCATAACATATCAATTGCTACCTTATCCGCTTGATCTGTTTCTGTTTGATACAGAAGGGCAGAAGATGCTATTAATAGGTCAGTCCCTAACACAACCCAAAGTTTTCCCCGCTCCGCAGACGCGAAAGTAAACTGACCTTTGGAAAAATGCTCTTGAACGAAACGAAGCCAAAACATGTAGCTGCTTTGCTTGGCAAGCTATTTCTAATGTGAGTTCTGACTTCATTTGTTCAGTAGGTGTGACCTGATAACGGGGCAAAGTGCCTGCCTGACAAGATACTCCAGTGTGTTTGTAAATAGGAAAATAGGGGCTGCTGATACCATGAACGCCGTGACACAACAATAGAATAGACCTTTTTTTTTAAAAAAGGACGGAAGCCATTTACACAGCGTGAGCTTAGCACACGACAATCTTTCCGAGATACTGCACGCGGTGCCAATGGAGTGGGGTATTTAGAAACAGGCTGTTACAGGAAGGAAGGCTGCCTGAAAACTCCAAGGCCAGTTGTTTATCAGAAGACTTTATATTCTCTAATAATAATAATCCTTGCATTCGGTTTAGCACGTTATCACGTCTTCGAGAAGTCTCAAAGCCCTTCCCAGAATACGCTGTAAAGTGAACTGACTGTATAATGTTTGCCTCCCAATTTTCTTTCTCGCTCTCATGAAGCTTTTTCGCTCTCAAATCATTCATTTTATTATCCAAGGGCACTGGAGAAACTTCCTTCTCTTTTCAAATAGTGCCATGGGATCTTTAACGTCCACTTGAACAGGCAGATGGGACTTTGATTTCAAGTCTCATCCAAAGAACATCACCTCCAACAATGCAGCACACCCCCACCCCAGTACTGCACTATGTCCGTTCAAAGTCCTGACGCACGGCTGGAACTCACAACTTTCTGACAGAGGTAGAGAATGGTACCCACTGAGCCAGGCTGACGTCTGACTACTTTGACCTCAGTGTGGATGATGGCGTGATAGTGTTGACTCACCGAGGATATTCTCGTGTCTCATCAGAACAGTCTGGTAAATTTCTGTCTCTCTGAACCAGCTGGCCTCTTCCATGGTGAAGAAAACTTTCACAGCTACCTTCTCCCCACGCCATCTCCCCATCCAAACCTCACCATAACGACCTTTGCCAATCTGCTTTACCATCTGAATCTGCTTGGCTATCGTCCTCTGGACCTATTACGACAGGAAAAGGCAAAGCAAAATCCTGAACATTCGTACTTCAAAAAGCATCTATACCACATCCATTGTGGGTTTCAAGAGTGAAGTAGATACAACAACAATAATTTGTATTTATAATAATAATCCTTGCGTTACAGCGGCCTTCGCACAAGGTAGTCGTATCTCGGAGAGCTTAATAGTGGCTGTTGACACCGAGCTGGGGAGAGCGGGGAGGTCAAAGAGGAAGGTTTTCAGGTGTGATCTGAAGACAGATAGACAAACACACCGGCCTCTTGCTATCAAAGTCAGAGGTTTCTGGGACAAAAACCAAAAATGCTGTAAATACACAAGAGGCCAGGCCCTGAAAGAGAAAGGCAGCTTTACGTTGTGGGTGTGAAACCCCCCACCACCCCCACCGCACCCCCATCCCCCACCACTGACAGAATTCTCCACTGATGAACCACTGGTGCAGTCGAAGAATGGAGCATTGGCTAATGATGTCGGCGCTGCTGGATGTTTCTTGATTTTTACTTTGCTTTGCGTTATCTTGACCGAAATTAGTAGGAGGCCTTTGGAAAGGCTGGGGTGTGGGAAGGCGGGAAGCGACCATTTCACGATCAGGTTCGCGCAAAAAAAAAAGAAAGCACGTTTGAAATAGGGCGAGTCACGTTGAATACAAGCAACGAAAAGGGCTCTGAGAAATTCCAGGTGCCAACAACAACAACTTGCATTTATATAGGACCCTTCGTGCGGTGTAGCGTCTGGGAGATAGACCGCCCACCACCAAGTATGAAGGTAAAGCGCTTGACGTAAGAGGTGCTTACCAATAGAGGGAGCCCCGAACCACTGCCCGAGCTCTGCGATTGCTCGATCAGATCCTTGAGCGATTCTCCAGGAGGAATGAAGGTCTCGTCCTGCTCAATGCCCATGTTGTATCGTGGCCTGTCCTCCTGCCTCTTATACCTGAGCAAAACACCAAACACAAGTCGGCCTGGGTAAGTGAATAACCGAGACTTGAGTAGAACGTGTTGATTGTTGTTACTTTGTGCTTCTCTTCGTTCGTGATTCTCTTCCGTTTTCCAGCAAATAATATTTTTTTTTTTTTTTGCTCGTTCTAATCCTTACACTTAACATAACCAACGGAAGTAACGAATTACATTTGTGCAGCGTTGGACGGTCAGGGATTTGGACTCGAGCAGGGGGTTGGGGTCAGGAGGGCAGGGAGGGTGGGAGAGTGACCGAAGGCGCGGCCGAAGAGGAGGCTCTGGAGACGAGCCGCGAAGGAAGCAGTGGAGGGAGCGAGGCATAGGGCCTGTGGGATGGAGTTCCGAAAGGTAGGGGCAGAGAGGCTGAAGACTAGACCGCCGATGGCGGGGACGGCTGGATGGGGGAGGTGGAGCAGGCTGGAGCCAATTTCATGTCAAGCGGACATCTTGGAGCGTTAGAGATATACAGGATATATATTTGGATTGCTTTAAAAATTAACATTTCGCTTCCAAAAATAATATTCACTGTGTTGCATGCAATACATGCAAAACACTGGCGTTGCTGTTAGATTCACCTGAAGTAGCAGAAGATAATGAGAAGGGCCAGGATAATACTGCAGACAGTGACGGAGATCAGCAATGCCATGTGATGGGTGCTTCCATCCACAAAATCTGAAAATGGAATGGAAAGTGAGCACTGCGGGCATAATACAATACAGATATACATTTATATAGCGCCTTTCACGTCATGAGACCGTCCCAAAGTGTTTTAACAGTACTGGCTATGCACCTGAGCTGGAGTGGGAACTCGGGGGAGTGGGGAGGAGAAGGATGGCGGAAAGAGGTAGGACGTGAGACAGATCTTGAATGAGGTGAGGGAGCGAGCGGTTTGGAGAGACTCCGGGATGGAGTTCCAAAGAGAGGCCACAAAACGGCTGAAAGCCCGTCTTCTGCCGATTGTGGGGCAGGCGGGTGGGGGGTGGTGGTTGGGCAAAGCGTAGTGGTGGATCAGTTGCGTAACACTGTACTCCGAGCCAAACCACTGATTTAACACAAGTTCAAGTTGATTTTAAGAAGAATGATCTTTACACTTGGGACAGTGTGTTTTTTTTTGATTGGGCAAATAGGGGCAGCCAATTCTGCACACAGCAACTTCCCACAAACAGCCGTAAAGTGAATGACCAATTTTGCAACAAGGAGTTGGCTAGGCAAGCTGTAATCTATGACTTTCACCTCTTAAAAATGGCTTTATGTTTAAGCTTAAGGGCTCAAGTCTTCATGTTTAGGTATCTTTTTCAATCCTGTCCGTTTTTTTTCCATTCGAGTTTCCCTGCGGATGTATTTTTCTTCTATTCCGCTTCGACATAAACAACTGCTAACAAATCTTTTGCACGTGGAAGGAAAGCGGACCATTGAGGTAGAAAATGCAAAGCAATGTTGCTTTTACGAGGAAATCCCAAATGTTCCTCAATTTGGAGGATCCCAAATTTTCAGAACAAAGCACTGGTACAAGAAAATGGCACAGGCATAGCCTATCAATAATAATAATAATAATAATAATAATAATAATCCCCGCATTTGGTACAGCGTCTTTCACATCAGGAGGACGTCTCAAAGCGCTTCACAAAACGTACCGGAAAGTGGAGTGAGTGATGGGCTAATTTGCACACGCACAACAACGTCCCGTAAACAGTCACAAAGGGAATGACCAGTTTTATGCGGGGAACTGTTGGTCAGGAGTCTGAGAGAAACTCCTTTCTCATTTTGAACAGTGCTACAGGGTCTTTAATGTCGGATGAGGCCTTGGTTTAACGTCTCATCTTAAACACTATGCAGCCCGCCACCAGTACTGCTCTGGAGTGTCAGCTAAGACTCTATGAGTTCCTAACACGGGGTTCGAGCCCTCAACCTTCTGACTCAAGTGCTACCAACGGAACCAAGCTGACGCCCGGCACAGTACAACGAGAGCCCGGACCGAACAAAACCAGCGAAGTGGTAACTTTAAACAGCGATCCCACGTCCAGTCAAGCCTACAGCCCCCTCAATCACCGCTGCAATCCTCCGCTCGTCCCTAATAAAGTAAGCAAAGGCGTCCGTTGCGTCATCTTGATCGAAGCTGATCAGGTGTATCGTCTGAAATCGTTTCGCCGAGCCCGCCAGCCGGGGCTCCGCTAACAGCAAGCAAGCCTGACTGCCGGGGCGAATGCTGAACGAGGTAAAACTGCATGAACTCTATCGCCTATTGATTTTCCGCTGGAAGAAAGCTCTCAGATTTCAGATTTACGACCGTAATGAAAAAGTTTTTTAAAAAAAAAACACAGGCCGATCCTGAGGGAGTATTCTCTTACCGTCACGCACGCTTTCCGAAAGAATGCTCTCGTGTGATGAGTGCTCCGATGCGCGCGGTTTTATCAATACGCGAGCTGGACAAATCTTGTCCTATTACCTGCTCACAGGACATGCGAAGCAGGGACAGTTAATTAAGAGCTTGAGGGGAAATATCGATGCTTACAGCAGAAGAAAATTTACTTGCCCCCCCCCACCACCCCCCGCCCTCACCCACTCACTTCCCCGTAGAGCAAGATAAGTGGTGTTGCACTCTCCTGACTGAAACATTAGCTGATACTGAGAAACTACTCCAGGGAGCTGTTTTTCTCCACATATCAGTGGCTAACATACCCGACTGCGATCTCCGTTACAGCGTTTATCAACAGCTTAGCATTTATGTGGGCCACTTGTTTCCTGTCGAAACGTGTGGTTTGTAACAAGTTTAAGATGTCAGTACCTATCAGTTCGAAACGTGGCGTAGGCTGAAAGAGAAGACCTGAAACCGGAGGGAATGACATTCGGGCTCACAGAAAGCGGAGCTAGATTTGATCGATCTTCACATCACATCGTCAGCAGGATCAGAGGAAGCCACGCAAGCACGGATAGTCTATTTATTTATAGAGCTTAAAAAAAAAGTCTGCGGGACAGAAGGAAGCCATTGAAGTCTTGCTGTTGCTTGATCCCTAACTGGAGCAATTTACTTTTCGCTCAGCGGACTCCAGCCTTTTCCATGTCCCTTGTACCCTCCGCTCCACCATTGACAGGGGTGCTTTCAGCCACTACACCCACGAAACTCTGGAACTCTGTGGCTCAACCCCTCTACCTTGCCCCCTGCTTGCCCGGCTTCAGATCGCGCCTAACACCTTCCTGTTTAACTGTGACTATGGTGACCTCCCCTCTCTTCCTGACTTGGTATTAAGCTCCTCTATTATTAAGCGCTCCGAGACTCCAGACCATATGCAGGGTGCTATGTGTGGTTGCGAGTTGCTGTTGGTTGTATAGTATTCGCTTTAATTTAATCCCATTCCCCAACATTTTTTCCCCACATCCTTTAAATGACGAATTGTTCGGCGTCCTGAAGTTAAGCTAATTTCCTTTTAAATGCTTTCACGACCTCGGCTTCAACTGCCATTAGCTTCATGTTATAAACGACAGATCATTGATGCCGGGTGCCCACAGAGGAGAAGGGGGAGTTAATACACTGCAACAAATGAACACGTCTGAATGGGCAAAATCAAATCTGAGCTGCAGGGGGTGGAGAGGGGAGAAGGAATGCAGAGGAGTTCACATGTTGTCGGTGTTCCAAAGTTGGTACCAGCAAAACGGTACATTTATGCTTAATTTCTACCCATGGTGTAAGTGGCATTGCTCAACAAAATCCTCTCTCTCCTGTGGAGCAACAATCATCGTTCAAAGTCATAACCAGTGACCGGTGAAAAGATAAAAGTTTGCTTTTGATTCAGATTCCTGCCGCTGATTAAACATCGGGGCTAAGTGGCCAGTTTCGGCTGCGGCTGACAGCTTTGGAGGGTCTACCAAATGCCTGTCGACAAAAAAAAAACCTGTGATCTTTTTGTTAGTTTTTCTTTAAAAATGGGTGTAAACGAGCTGCTGGAATTTAGCAATAATAATATACAATCCTTCAATTGATGTAGCACCTTTCAAGTCAGGAGGAGGTCTTAAAAGCGCTTCACAGGATATAATGTAAAGTGTAGCGACTGTGTATTTTGCAGGGGAATTCAACCAGCAGTCAGTGAAACTGGAGAACTTCCTGCAGCTTGTCCAGCTAGGACACCCTACCCTTGCGGTTGTTAGAAGACAGGATAAACCCTATATTTGTCACTGGTCGTCTGTATTTCCATGTTCCTAACTACTAGATATTGCAAGAATGCCTCACGTTGATTCAAGAAACACTGCTTAAATTCCCACTTGGCTTTACCGAAGCTCGTGTTTTTGTTTTTTACCTCACCCAGCGTTACCGTGTGCTCGTTTTCACCTAAGTGGTTTCCTACAGCTCGGGGTCTTGGTTTGCCCTTCACTTTAGACTTCGCTTCACGGCGGAGCAAACATAGATAGGAAACAAAATGGGCCGAATGGCCTCCCCGCTGTGTTGCCAAATTTCTATAGTTCTAAAAGAGCTTTTGTAGATGAATGTGGGGCAATTGAGTTAACCTGTGATACTTAGATTTGGGGGAGGAAGACGGGTGTATAACACAATGAGAAACTCTTCACTGTACTTTAATAACATCCAAAAGAGAAGGGTTTCCAAATGTATCCGCCACCTACACACGAGAATTTCCCTATCTCTGGAACAGAATGTGAACGCTCCAGCTCAGCTACGTCGAGAGAGTATTGAGGTTCATGAGGCTCAGGGATCTCAGAGTGTGGGTTGGGATAACTGCTGGAGTTTGACTAGCTGAAACCACATAGCTTGCCATCGAAAGAACTGCCTGGCAAGGTTCCTGCTGCTTGTCTGGCGAGGACCACCTCTTAGGACTTTGGCTTGCAGGGTTAACAGGAGCTGAGCGGGAAGAATCCCTGCTCCCAGTGAAATGGTCTGCTTCTATTGATGAGTCGTACCGATAAGTCATCAGCGTTGCCCTGGAGCACCGCTGAGCCGCCCGGCTCAAGAACCAGACTCCTGAGACCACCACAGAGGGTGGACTTCATTCCGACGTTCCATTGTCAATTCAACTCCAAGGAGACTCAGCTTCCCTCCCAAGCCAGGGAGGATACCGAGCATTGAATACAAAATGGGGAAAGAGTGGAGGCGTGGCTGTTGAGAAAACTGAACAGAGCGTTATACTATAGGCATAATAATATTTATAAGGATGGAGATCATCTTGTTAGAAAAAGTTTCCCAAAACTGTATTGATTGTTTGGCTTTAGAGAGGATTACTGCTTGATCCAGCTGAGTCCAATATCTTTCCCGATGTGCCTGTCTGCAATCTTAGAAGAGTCTTTAAATGGGGATTAAGTTCTTGTCACTGGTCTCTCTCTCTCTCTCTCTCTCTCTCTCTCGAGTTCCCTCCACTCACAGGACTTTTGAGCATCAAGAGTAAACATTTAGTTTTGCGATTCAACCCAAAAACGTAAAAACAAGAGAGCCTTCAAATTCATTTGGTCACTTGGGATAAAGGATAATAATATGTCTGGGTCGGCAATAGGATTCGACAAACGTTAGAACCGTCAAAGATTACAGCACAGACAGACAGAGGTAAATCGGTCCATCGTTCTGCTCTCTGAAACAGCTGGCCGGTTAGCTCCGCAGTCAATCCCGCTTGTAAGCACAGAACCAGAGAAATTTACGGCACAGAAGAAGGCGATTCGGTCCATTGTGTCAACGTCAGCTGTTTTGAAGAGCAACCTCCGCTCTCATGAATGCAAAATCCTCTCTGAATCATCTTTTGGGTTGGTCTTCAAACGAACCCGATCATTGCCGGCAACAAAGTCAGAGTCGACGTTTCTCCCGGTGAATTTTACCCGTCGATCTCTGATCAGTAACAACGGCTGATTGGTACATTTCCACCTTGACTGACATTCTGCCCTCCTTCTCCACTGCCCCACCCCAACCCCCTCCCCCCCACCCCACCCCGCCCCCACTTGCTCTCTCTCTCATTCAACACCGACAGGTCTATAGCCGGGGAGCCAGGCAACTCGGCACCACCTCCGTTACATTCACAGGAACCAGGGCAGGGAGGACAAAGCTTTCTCTCCCCCATTAACTGCACTCAGCGTGTTCCGTATATACATATATACGTTTTATACACAGACAGAGGAGGTAGGAGAACTGCAGGACGACAGATTTATGATCACCTGTGTCTCTTAAGAGACCGTGTTCCACTGCTGCACTATAGCAGCCGGGGCCTCAGGTTCTAACAACCTCATCTCCACAGTACAGCATCTCACATTAGTATGCTTTCATCTAAGTGTTCATTAAAGTCAACAATATGCCCTTAACTGTTGTGTTGCTTGATGGAACTCTTTTCGAATAGTGCCACGGGATTTTTAACCTGAACAGGTAGACTGGACATCGGCTTAAAGTCTCATCCAAAGGACAGCACCTCCTACAATGCATCCCCAGCACTGCATTGGAATATCATCTTAGACTTTGTGATTGTGAGTCATGACGTGGGACTTAAACCCATAACTTTCTGACTCAAAGGCGAGCATGTTACACTGAGTCAGGCTGACATGTGAGCCAGTTTTAACCGACGCGCTTGTAATAAATCCTTCTGACGTCTAAAATCACTACAGGATGATTCAACTCACTGCAACTGGCTCCTCAAGAGGCAATTGTAAACGGAATCAGAAATAAGGACTGACGTTTTGGCTATGTTTATCTGAGCACATGGGTGGCATATCGGAGCCAAATGTACACAAGTTTTTGCGGTTTGCTGGCGATGATTTGTGAAAGCAATTTTAAGTGGAAAGAGACACACATAAGGAAGAACCAGACCCACCAGACTGCTTATACTGGCAGTCAGCACCATTAAAGAGAAGGGACTGAAAATACCGTTAACTGCTTTCTGATCGAGGATTGCCCAGAGGTGATATTTCAATTATGTTCTGAACGAAGGGTCATGGACCCGAAACGTTGACTCACTTTCCTTTCTCCTCGGATGCTGCCTGACCTGCTGAGTGTTCCCAGAGACTACTGTTGTTTTGTTTCAGATTTCCAGCATCTGCAGTATTTTGCCGTTTTTTTTTTTAATTATGTCTTTTGAAAATAAAATGCCTGAGAACCAAAGGCAATCAGACCTAGGGCATCCTCCGCAGTGATTTCGGAACGCTCTTGGAGTTGTTTCAACACTCAAATAAACACAACAGGAAACTAATTGGAACATAATATAAGCCACAGATGATCTCTTGGAGTCCTCCAACACGGTTTTGCACTTTTAGCCCCTAACTCCGCATACCGCTTCTCTCTCTTTGTGTGAAGAAAAAACTCACTAAAAATAACCCGAGCAGTTATCGGAAAGGAATTTGTTTTTTTTCCATTTTGCTTGGCTGGAGGGACGGGATTTGACGGCTAATATGGACATTCGGTAATTGTGCCAAAAAAAAACCTCCTGTAAGTAGACAATATGTCATATCCTGCCATTTGATGATGATACATATCTGGCAAATGATACATTTCAGTGGAAGAAATGAATTGTGTGTGTCGAGCAACATTTTTACATATCAGTTAGCATAACAACAGGGGTGCAGCCAAAGTTGACTATAAGAAGGCGAGATAATAAAATGAAATTGACTTTGATGATTGCCGCGAACGGGAGAAAGCTCCTGTCAATGTCTTAGAGGACACGACCTGCGATGGAAGGGGGCTAAATTCAGAACAAATCTGCGCAAACGCTGCTTCGTTGAGCGAGTCGTAAACGTACGGAGCAGGCTCCCTAACAGAGACGGTGGAAGCAGAATGCGTCGATTGTTTCAAGGACAAGTTAAGATACGTTTCTGTTAGGAAACGATATCTCGAGATACAGAGTATAGTTTGGGACATGACGTGCGTGCGAATGCCAGGATGGTGGACGACAAACTGGATGGACCTCGGTCTTCTTTCACCGAGCAAATTCTTACGGATTTATGTTCTTATGTTCACCTGCGGCTCCGACCTCCTTGACCTCCCGGGACTGTTCCTCAGACTCGTTGAATTTTTGCGCAACCGAGACATTGGGTTCGATCCACAGCTGTCTTTTCTTCTCCAAAGAGATATGGTCGGAGGCAGGCAATGTGACAAGTACCACTGTCCTCCACCTCCATCTCATTGCCCGCCTCCGACCATATCTCGCACCTAATGCAGCTGAAACCCTCATAATAATAATCCTTGCATAGAATATACTGTAAAGTGAAAAGACTATTTTCCAACCCAGCACCGTATGTGCCACAGATACCACTTCAGATAACATGAAATGAATGAGAGCTCTTCTGTTTGTGGCTCAGAAACCACCACCCAAAAGATAACAAGATTGGTTGAGATGAAGAAGGCTCTTCAAGCCTTTTGATCTCATCCTTCTGCAAAACCCACTCTACCAACAACAACGCCAAGCTGTGTTTTTAAATGAGTCCTGGCCTCAACCACCTTTCCTAGCAAAACCCGTTCCAGTCATTAATTACCCTCTGGGTAAACAAAAAACTTTCCTGGAATCTGTCCTGAAATTGCCCTTTTCAACTCTAAACCTACGCCCTCTTGTTCTACTGTCTTAGTGGGTCCTAAAGTATCGATATGGGTTGACTTTTTCAATCCCATTTAAATCTAACATTTTCAATCTGTCAGGTCTTCTCTGAGATATGTCCTTTCCTATTTGAGCTCCGGCTGCTTCATGCTTGTGTGTCTATGTACGCGTGTTTGTGTGTTCGTGAGAGAAAGTCTTACCTTGGTTGCTCTGAGGCGGAAGTGTGGGGTGAAGGTCACGATTGCAGAAGTCCCGTTCTGTGCAGCATTCGATGGCCCTCCGCTGAGATGACTTTGGGGTATCCTCCAAGGGAGAAATAAAAAGGAAGAACACTTTGACAATGGGTGACCTGGTAAGAAATTGAGATCTCACTGCTAAATGTATACTTATTCTCCTCTTTTAAGAAAAAAAATACAAGGTCTAAATTGCAAATATTTCCCAACAGATTCAACGTGTTACCCCCATTGGCACAAATCCCAGATAACAGCGCCCATGGCTTTTGCACCAGGTTTGGGTAATGCTGCAATTCAGATTTCAGAGGTTATTTGTAAAACACATTTTATCCCCGTTCCTTCCATAAGAAGCACCGCAATATTAATCCCAGCGTTGTTTTCCTTCTGCCTGACCGGCACTTGCGCTCACATCCTAGAACTATTGTATTGAACGACCCTTCACCTGAATTTGTTGTGGATTTCCCTGAGTTGGAAAACCTTTGACTAAGAGCCGAATAAAATGAGGCACACCCATTGGACGGTGTGTGGTTTGAACTTTGAAAGGGTGAAGCGAACCAGTGTGTTTACAAGCTCCGCTGGTTATATTGACTGGCGAGTCCCTAATTGTGATCCTTCTGAGGCGCTCGTTAAGGGCGCTATATAAATGCAAGTTGTTGTTGTTGATGCCTGGGCCCAGTTTCTAATCAGTGGACGACTGTCCTTACGTTGATCCTTTTATAGTCAACAGCATCTGACAATTTAAGAGTGGGGCACCTTGAACAGAACCTCTCATGTGGATGGAGGAAGGACGGGGCTCGTCGGGAAGTCACTGAGAAACGTTCAAGCAGGATCGGTGCAATAAAGTTACTTACCCGGCACTGAAAGTCAGAGCCTTCTTTACCCAGGCACCCGGATGTGATCACGTGGCCTCCCCACTCGTCTTCTTCCATTATCGTGAAACAGTAGCCATCGGTCCTGAAGAAATAAAAAGGAATGTTAATCGCACAGCGCCCACCTTCTAACCTCTCCAGCCTCTCCTCGCGACAAGCCCTAACCTCTCCAGCCTCTCCTCGCAACAAGCCCTAACCTCTCCAGCCTCTCCTCGCAACAAGCCCTAACCTCTCCAGCCTCTCCTCGCAACAAGCCCTAACCTCTCCAGCCTCTCCTCGCAACAACCCCTAACCTCTCCAGCCTCTCCTCGCAACAAGCCCTAACCTCTCCAGCCTCTCCTCGCAACAACCCCTAACCTCTCCAGCCTCTCTTCATCGCAAGTCCCAGCCTCGGAACCCAAGCACCACTTCTTGCTCCTGTACCAATCCTGTCCATAATATTATTGGTTTCATATTAGCAAGTGGGATCCAATCTACAGGATTTCTTCACAGATTTCACAACAGGAGCTATGTAATTACTGAATCTCTATTCAAAATCCCTCAGCACATGAGGTATTTATATAGCTGAGCGCTAATTAATCATCTCATATTAATAAATCTGTCAAGATGCATCGTGTTAGACACTATTCAATGCAGCACATGCTTTCATATGAGCAATGTCAACATTTTCCAGAGAGCTGGAACTATAACTTCTGAATCTATTTCCAGCCCCACCCCAGCCCCAACCACTAACACCTCATTTTTTGGCAGAAACAATAGCTTCCTGAATGCAGGATAGCTTCAGTCTGTGCAGACCATTTCTCTGTGGCATGCTGGTGGACATCATTTCTTATCCTTTGTTTTTTTACACATGTTTTTTTTCCATTAGCAACCTGTCCGCTCCTTCCACTCAGCGGGCTCTGGCCTGCTTCACGTCCCCCGCCTTGCCCGCACCCACCATTGGCAGGCGGGCCTTCAGCCTCTCTGCTCCCACCCTCTGGAACTCCATCCCGCAGTCCCTCCACCTCCTTCAAGACCCATCTCAAGACCCTCATCTTCAACTGTGACTTTGGTCACCCTCCTACCCCTACCTTCCCCGCTCTCCACCCCTCCTGATCCCAACCACCAGCTTGGGTGCGTATCCCTGAACGTCCAGTGCCGTGAGACGTCCTCCTGACGTGAAAGGTGCTGTACACTTGTAATTTGTTGTTGTTGTTGTTGTGTACCATCACAAATTCACCGACTCAGCAACGCATTTCCCGCAAGCGAAAGAAACTGCGATGTTTAAAGAGATTTGACCAACCTCAAGCCTATCATCACCATGTGTTTGGGGGGAGGGGGCTAAGAATCCAGCCTGATGGCAGCCTTGAAATCTGAATGAACTCCGCCGTGGATTTGATCCAGTTATTTCCCACAGACAGACTCTACATTTCAGACACTCTGATCAGATGAGCCCTAAAAAAAACCTCGCCACCCCCATCCCCACAAGACCGTCGACTGCAAATGTTACCCGTTCACTTTGTGTTAACAGATACTTGGGATTTTTTCCAGCGCAGTCTGCGGAAACCCATCACCGCGCTTAAGAGTATCCAGACCGACAATTCCATGTATCCCACCTACACGCGGACATCCCTGAGATAGATTGCTGCAATGGAACGCGCTCTCTTTCTCCCTGGAGGAACGCATCCTGCTGACCTAATTCCAGAAAGTATTAGGCACACAGGTTGGCAAGAGCCAAGGCTTGAAAGGTCAATGCGGAAAGTGGATGTGGGTAATTTTAACTTACTTGCAGGTGTTATTGACTGACTCTTCGGGGCAATGATGATGACAGTGACACCAGAGGTCCTTCTGAGGAGGAGTAGACATGGTGCTGTCATCCGATTCCATCTTGTTCTCTACGCTCAGCTTCCCGGTACTTCGCAGCAGCATGTTGTCAAGGCGATTAGCTGAAAGAAACGATGAGTTTGCACATAAACATCGCAGGTGGTGAATAACATCACAACATTAGCTTTTGATTGAGTTGCCTTACCGTGATGTAACGTCTGAAAACAAATCACGCAATGAGTTACTCTGAATGCCAGTCAGCAGGCAGGGGTGACTTTTAATTTGCACCATTTACGTCCCACAGACAGTAAAACAAAATTAATAATCATATTATAATAATCCTTGTATTTGATATGGCTCCATTCACTTCTATCTCTGGGATTTCCTCTACCTCTAGGATTTCCACGTGTAGGTGGGATGTCAGGTATGGAACAAAAATAATAATAATCCTTGCATTTGATTTAGCACAAATCACCATCGGAGTCTGAATCTCGAGAGGGTTGGAGAGAGGGAGGAAGCAGGAAGGGAATCTCCGTAGAAATAAGTGGAACACATCAAAGTGCTCACGAGCGAAGAAACTTCTTATACAACCTTCTGAGCAGGACGGGAAGGATTGTAAGCTCCGGTCAGTTCTGAAATGCAACACCCTGCTCACATACCGGCAGTCTGCAGAATCATAGTCAATCGATGAAGAACTGAACCTGAGCTCAGTGAAACGAGAGCCAGGCCTGATCCGTGGCCTGACTCCTCAGTATGACTGGGTCACAGGAGGCACCACTGACAAACATACTGTCACTGACATCTGCCAAGTAAAACAGCACGTTTCAATGCAAAATCCTGCGCAGCTCTTCAAATGAAACAACGGGAAGTGAATCCTGACCACAGAGAGCAGGGTCCGTGCGGGTTGTTGAACTCCTTTGCTCGTGCCAAAAGCTCATTATGGTTTGAAAACCCTCAACGTGTCCACTCACCCTCTGTAAAAAGGGGACAAAAGCATTCGCTGTAACGACAGGGAAAGGCAGTAGGCCGTGTTGGCAAGGTGCCCAGCTCAGTAAAGGCATCCTTTACATTTCAGATTGGTCGGAGATTCAAGGGGTAGAAATATCCACCTGGGTCGAGGTCAGTTACTTAGACAGCCTTTCAGAGCATCCAGAAATTCGCAAACTTGTGAATTCAGTCTGGAAGTTGAAATTCGTTTTCGGTTCCTCGTGAAAGAAACTTACATAAAAGATGTTGTTATACCCCACTGGTCAGCAGACTTCCAACCATTCTGCTTCAGCTGTGTGGAGCTCAATCCCAGATTCCCCTCTGCTTCCCTCCCTCCCTCCCCATAAAGCTCACCTTAAGACCTATCCTTTTGACCGTTGATGCTCCCTTGCTATCAGCACGTGAGCAATTCTCTGAAGTTCCCACCTGAAACGTGCCCGGCTTGTTATTCTAGACGTGCTCGGTTACAATTCCAGCAGGCAGCAATAATTGGGACGAACGCGTGGAGCCAAAGCTGGACATTCCTTCACTTCCTGTGCAAAGGGCCCAGGGCTGATCTTGCGCTGCAGCTGAGCCTCAATAATAAAAGGCACTGAGACTGAACCAGGTCCACCACCGGCTGCTTCTTCTTCAGTCCTAACTGGACTCCAGTGCCAAGCCCTGGAGCGTAACAATTGGCTTTAACAACTGGGTTTAACAAGCTCCTTTGCTTGTGCAGAACCCACCGAATTTATAAGCCACAGTAAATACATACGTTCCCCCCCACCCACAGTCCAGGAACCTTGGCTAACCCTTAACCAGATTTGCCCGCCATCTAACCCAGTGGTAGCGGAAGTGGGGGGGGTGAGTGAGGGGGGTAAACAGCCAGAAGCAAAGACGGCTGAAGGCATGTTTCTTTACTCCATACGCCTCTGTTTATCCAGCAGTAAGCAGGAACCCGGTTGTTAGTCGGTCAACCCGTGGATCGCTTTCTCAATGGTAATAATCCCTTCAAAAAATAAATTAATAATTTGGTCATTATGGTTTGTGGGGACGCTGCCGTGCGCAATTGGCTGCTGTGTTTTGCCCACAAAATATACAGTCATTTCACTTTACAGTATGTTCTGCGAAGCGCTTTGAGACGACTCGAAGACATAATAAGATGTTTATATTGTATCATATAAATATATTATATCAAATGCAAAGATTATGATTGGTATTATCATCTATGGGACCCACTTCTGCTCCGTTATTTGGCCAATCTTCAAGTGAAATAGATTGGCGTTTGTGTATTTCATTACTGGGGGAGGATACGTGGAATGTGCAAAGAAGGCTCACGTGCCTTGAACATCTGGGTGCACGAGGCAATTCAAATTGATGCCCTTGGAAAAAAAAATAGAATGGGAAGCAAAAGGATTTGCTTGGATACGAGTCCCTGCAGGGAAGAGGCTAAACTCTGTGGGGAAGAGATAAAGCAGACCCAGTGTATGTATAAATTCATATAGAACACTAAATCACACGGCTGGCATTTAAGATAATGCTGATATCTGTGCTCAATCACTGCAGCTTAATATGAATATCATTCACTTTGCGCTCTGTCTGATCTCTTCTTTCCAGTGAACTCTTTGATCTCACGGAACTCCACAGTTATGTTTGATCTTATTTTCTTTAATGTTCGGGCCTGAACTAATTAATGATAGCAAGGGAGAGAGCACTATTTTAAACAAAGTCAGCGAGGAGAACAAAGAGCTAGTATTCAGTTTCCTGCTGTAACTCAATGTTCTGCCGATGCTCATAAACTCCCTACGTTTTCCTGCTGTGGTTTATGACTCAACACTTGACATCCACTGAGTACTTGCCACTTCTCTTACCTGACTTCTTCAATCAGCTGTTGGTTCTCTTGGAGACTATTACAGTTTGCCGTTTGGGAGGGGAAAAAAAATGTGCTTTTTAAATATGGGGTTGGGGACGGCAATGCTCAATGGAAATCAAAACACAGGATGCGAACAAGCAATGATTTCCGTGGCAATAGAAAGAAAAATATAGGCTTTTGCTTACCGATACACAGTCACTACACTTTACAGTAAATGCGTTTATAAGGCATGTAGGCTGATGATGTTTTGGAGTGTTGTACAACGGTGGGGTTCGGACACAGAGTGAGGGACGAGGGAGAGAGGGGAAAGAGTGGGTTGGAGTGTGTGGCTTTGGGCTTGGTTGAAGAGGTGGGTTTTAAGGCAGAACTTTAAAGAGTGATAGAGGAGCTAAATGGAGGAAGGGACGATCGAGAGGTTAGGTGCAGAGAATGTGAAATTTTGACCACGGATGTGGCTAAGAGAAGGCACAGGATGGAGCAAGGCGGAAGGGCCAAGCAGAGAAGTGAAGTGGGGCAGTTCCGAAAAATAGAATCATAGAACTATACAGCGCAGAAGGAGGCCATTCGGCCCATCGTGTCTGTGCCAGCTCTATGAAAAGAGCTATCCAAATCAATCCCACTCCCCCGCGCTCTCCCCATAGCCCTGCAAACTTGTCCTCCCCCAAATAATGATCTACTTGTCTCTTAAAAGCTGTTATCGACTCGGCTTCCACCGCCCTTTCAGGCAACGCTTTCCAGATCCCAACAACTCGCTGCGTGTAAACATTTCTCCTCACCTCCCCTCTGTTTCTTTTAACGAGTATTTTAATAAGGAGGGATAAGTCATGAAAGGATTTACAGGTGAGGGCGAGGACTTGAAATTGATTTGCTGGGAGAGAGCGGAGCTTGGGGAGGTTGGGTTCACCTGTAGGCTGGTGAGGATGTGGGTAGCGGTGGAGTTAAGGAGACCGGGGAGGACTACATTAGAAAAGGCGCTAGCCCACCAACATTACCCCTCCAAAGTGTTCTGCTGACATCGAAAGAAACTATTTTACTGTTATCCTATTTGGTGAGTATGTTCTGTCGTTGAATATGTTCTACAGGTCTAACGAAATATATTTGTGCATTATATTACACGTTGTAAAACTCCCTCAGATAAAAATAGTCATTTACAACAACAACACCACCAACAAATTACATTTATAGAGTGCCTTTCACGTCGGGAGGACGTCCCAAAGCGCTGAATATTCATGTTACATTGCTGTGCATGAATTGACTGCTATGTTAGTCTACATAAAATAGTCACTGCACTTTACAGTAAAAACCTGGGAAGTGCTTTAAGGCGGGCTCCTGATGTGAAGACCTTGGGCAAAGCCTAGTGTTTGGGTTTGAGAGGATGCTGATTTAATGCACTTATTATTTCTGGCGCATTCTGGCAGTAAAACTCAGTCCAGTGTACGTAAGCGAAGGTGTTATCACAGAGAAAGCTGTTCCAAGAAACAAGTACATTGAGTTCTGCCAGTTTCCTTCAGACCTCCCGTGAAGACAAGTCAACAGCACAGGGGCGCATATCTAGTCCATTCTCCGGTATTAAGCTCCGAGCCCAGGCATCGTGAATGGTGCTGTCAAGGCGCTCTTCTGAGGTTCAAGCTGTGTCCTGCCTTGCCCAGCCCATCACTGCAGCTCCCCACCACCGCACCCCCGATCTGTGCTCTGCACAAGGGGCGGAAAAAAAAATCCCCAGCACAACATTTCGACGGCTTAAGGAATTCCAAGAATTTACCTTTTCCTTCCAAAAGTCTCCTTGCTTTTTATGACCGAGTTGATTTTGGTGCTTGTTAAAACAAGAAGGGGGAAGGGGGTGGGTGCGGGTGAACAGTCGCCAACACTGACTTGTGTGTGTAGGTTTGTGCTTTGTGAGGTTCTCCTGACCTGAAAGGCGTTCTCTGAAAACGTACATGTGCAATTTGTTGTTTTGTAAATGGGGATAGGGGTCATTAAAACATTACATATTCCCTTTAAAAAAAAGTTATAATTTGCTCACGACTGCTTGCGGGGACGCTGCTGTGCGCATTTGGCTGCCGCGTTTTGCCCACAAAACATACAGTCGATTCACTTTACAGTACATTCCCCGATAGAGCTTCGAGACGTCTCGAAGACGTGAAAAGGCGCTATATCAAATGGAAGGATTATTATTATTATTATTATTATGATACATTTGATATTAAATGCCTGGAAAAGAGCGTGAAAGTGCATTGCTAAATCAAAGCTACTCTCTTTAGACTGTTCAGTAAGTTTAAGCTT